CAGACACGTCCGTAATACTGAAGTTAGCAGGCCGGGCCCGGCCGCGCTGAGATAAAACACTGATTAAATGACACAGAGATGCTTCTCTGGACTACGCGAGTAAAGCTCATGTTCAAATATATAACTGGGCACTGTCCAGCTCCCCTCTTACGGTGCTAAAAATCTCCTTTTTGTCTAAGCTCCTGCCGACTGGAGACAAGGGCTAAAAAAAACACCTTTCGGCTGTCCTCGAAACAAGGTTTATTTTTCACGAGGTGTCCCATGACCCACAGACCTACCATCCCGCGAATACTTTGCTCAAACATAAACAAGACGAAAGGGACGAGTACAGAGAGAGAGAGGGGGGGGGGGGGGGGGGCAGGGGGGGTTCGTCACTGAGAGAAGCCTGGTCCAGGTAGGCTGTTTAGTTTTAAGCCTTGTTGGTTAAAGCTATTAAACCTTTAAGCTGGACTGAACACAAGACCACCCACCGGCGCCATTCGCGTGCTGCCTAGCCTTGTGCGTGACAGATATTTGTCCTGTTTATTAATCTGGGAGTTAGGAAGAAAGGGTTCCTGGCAGTACAGGGTGGAGAGAGTGAATGTGAGGTGGAGAGCGAGAGAAATGGGGGAGGGGGAGAGGGGCCATACCCACATGGTGCTCGTGGGAGCGTCCGAGAAAGACCTCGCCCTCCCTCACCCCGAAGCGCTCGACCCTGCCACCCCCCACTGCAGCTGCCAGTTTCTGCTGATCAGGAGGTAAATAATAGGATCAGTAGCTTCCCAGCTTTAGTGCCAAAAGCTCTCCCTCTCCCGTCTTGCCCACTTCAGCGCCTATGCCTCCTTCAGAAGAATGTTTAAAGAGGCGACAGAGGACCAATGAGCTCGCAGACGCATCCTAGGCCTAGTCATCCTCACTGCAGTGGGTGGGGGGCAGGTTTAACGGGGGTGACGCAAGATACGTTCGCTGGCACATGGTCAAGGCCGCAGCAAACCCAGAGACCACCGTGACACACGGGCAGTATTAGAGCGGCACTCTGAATGCGGTCGGGTGAATGTGGCGGCGGCGGCGGCGGCCGATGGGGGCGGGCCCAGAACGGCGGCCCCGGCAAGGCCACGGCAGGGCCTGATTAGCACGGGAGTACCAGTAAATCAGAGCTCAGCTCTTCCAGGAATCAGAGCAACCTTTTTCCCACTGAGCACTATTACTGCACAATTGCAGACTAGCCACGCTAATTAGCAGAGTATCTCTGTCTGAACAAGAGTCCCTCTCAGACACACCCCCCCCCCCCAACCCAATCACTCACTGTCGAGGCTGATGGCTGTTAGGTGTGTTTAGGGAGGGTGCGTGTGTGTGCATGCACGTGTGTGTGTGCGTGTGCATGCGTGTGTGTGTGCGTGCATGTAAGCGTGTGTGCGTGCAAGAGAGCGGCGAGGCCCTTAAACACTTCCCGATGTCGACCCCCACGTTACTCTTCGTTGTTATTTAATAATAACAACAACAAGTCACAGTGCTGGAAGGCCTGACACTTATTTTCTACGGTTATCGTCTTACCTATACATCAAATCCCAGCCTACAGGAGTGGCCATTATCGTTATGGCCGTAATGGAGGAGCTTCACGTCGATAACGTCTCACGCTACATCGCTTGCCGCGGAAGCCACAGACACATTATGGTGCTTTTTTATGCCAGAAAGTCGATCTATGTTCACGGCGTGGGTGTTGGGGGGTCTCGAGTTAAGAAACGGGGGGAGACTTAGAACCGACTGAAAACAGAGGCTGAGCCTGGGACGAAGCGTTCACTATTCCGGCTCTGTTTGCCAGAGCTGGACACGGAACGGGATGGGCGGCACTGGGGGGGGGGGGGTCCTGGGTAAAGATTCCCCGTGCGATAGTGACGGCACTTTCCTCCCCGCTCTGCCCCAGCCGAGCTGCATCTGGAGTGGATTTTGTGTGAGCAGACGCTGAGGAACATGATTACATTCAGTTAACTGCACTCTAAACTGATTATGCATGTGCCAAGCTAATGGACTACATTTGCAAGAGGAAAAATAACATCCAATCAATCTCAATTACTGCAGACCGCACCGGCCCCCGAGACAAAGGAGGTAGCCGGCAGACCGGGCTGCCGCTCCGCTTCCCCCCACACCCAGGGCCTGGGAACGAGGGCCCCAGCCTGGCCTCCGATCGGAGCGGCCAGCTCTCGCCAACATGGACATGCTCACATGGGCCTTTTTCCCGGTGCCGAAACAGGACGCCCAATAAACATTTGCGTGGCGCCTGATCTGTTTCCGTGACGGTCACGCTGCCATCCCAACAGCGAGACGCCACACTGGTTGACACCCATGTGGAACCATAGGAGCGGTTCGCTGCCAGCACCACCTCCTGGCAAATACGGCACCAGAAGCAGGTGCTCTACGCGGCTGCCTGTGTCACCTAATGAGCCGACCCTCTCTGGTAAGAACACACCATGGCGGGTTTTAGGGCCCCCCATGGGAGAAGGAGACAGGAGCCTCCGGGTCAACGTGCCGGCAAACGGAAGCCTCTCCAGGGCGAGGGCACCAGCGACGCGCTCACAGACATGGACCAACAGCTACTGTGATGATGGGGACGGACAAGGGGACAGGTCCCTTCTTGCCATGGTGGTCCCAGTGACCCCGGACACAGAGCCACTTCTTTGTGAGGCCTGTCGGAACATTCCAATAGGCGGGGGGATATTTTTAGCAAACCCTAATATGGGTCGCATACCACAGACTCTCAAATTATCCCATCCAGCTTAGCCCTCAGTTTAAACCTTCCTTTTTAATTCCAGTAATTACAGGCTCCAATTTATACGGAGCCGCGCGCACACAAAGGGCCTGTTTAATGCGAACCAGTCCGATTCGGGCCCAAGTGTCCACTAGGCTGCCACATCTTAGCCTCCATTACTGCTGACAGTCTATTTTCAATCCCGAAAAGTTGAGAGAGAGAGCGTGCGAATTAGGGAAAATAACGGTAATGGACACTGGACTCCCGTGACATGGGAACAAACAAACGGGAGTTTCCCTTCCTCCGCTGTACAAGACGGTCAGTAGCTGAGACAAAGCGTCCACCAATTAGGATCTGGAGAGAGGCCCCAAGTGTCATCCCCCCCCCCACCGGGGACCTCACCGCACAGAGTATGCTGATAACCGCGTCCCTGCAATGGCACCGTTCCTCACCCGGGGGCTCGAGGTCTCATGCCCGTCCGGATGCCTGGCATTCTTTAAGGGATTTTGGTGGCTGTCTACACTGCGGAGTCATATTAAGGAGTTTAGACTTCAAAAAGAAGTTATTATGAATGAGGGGGGGGGGGGGGGCTTTACAGTCCATTGGGCAATGGGCAAGCGGGAGGCATGGCAGTGAAGCGAATGGACCTGAGGCACCCAGCATTGATCATTCCTTAGGAATTGATGGTCATTAGTTACTGAACTTGTCTCTCTCTTCTGTCGGTGAAACCTGTTCACCGTCTCTAGACATGCTGCAGGAAAATCCTCCAGACAGTCACCCTCCCCAAACAAACAAACCAACCAACACCAGGAAGAAGCCCGGTTCAGGGCGTGACCAAACCACCCCGCTGGCGCAGCCTGGCTACCGTGCTGCCGGGCTTGTGTTACATATTTTAATCACAGTGGTATTCGTAAATATCCTGGCTAACGGGTTCGGACTTGAAGGGGGAGGAAGGGAGAATTACAGGCCGGCTCTCCTCACTCCCGACAACTTCACACTCGCGATGAAGGAACCCCCCCCCCCCATATGTCAACACTGGCTTGCCCCATTGCGAAATCCCCCCTCCCACCCCGACTATTGTTAATGGACCATCTGGAACAGGAGCCTCACATTCACTGCTGAAATACAGGCTCCTTCCAACAGGTGGCGTCCTCTCAGTATGACACGCTCCCCGGCAAGAGAGCCGCCGTACGTCGAATACGATAAACCTCGGAATCCAGACGGCAGCTGTGTGCGATCTTTACTCACACCTATCTAACGGGATCTGCATCTAAACACGCCATCAGAAGGTACCGGGGCGCCTGAGATCACACCCGGTGTCAGGATCCCACACAGCGCTGGGCCTGGGCCCCCGGCATGCAGATAAGTGGACGAGCAGAATCAGGCCTGTTGGATTTATGGCCATTTGTTCGGGGCGGGTTCATCCGTCGGCCATTACGGAATGATTAGAGAAGAAGGTGAAGCTGCAAGTCCAGCGAAAATCAATACGACTGTCGGGAGCGATTCTGGCTCCCGCTCCAAGGAGCCGCAGACGCTCCTCAGCTTCCCCAGCGCTCGCTCCTCTCTCTCCCCCTAGCTTGGAGCTCCACCCACCCATGTCATCCCCCCTCCCCCCCATCAGGCGGGGCATCTGCTCAGCACGGCCTCTGGTGATTGGACGCTGACTGTGGGGTCCTCTGGAACGTGGCACTGGTACATATCACTGCATTAGGTTGGCCTCACTGCATTCTGATTGGTTATTGTGTTGCTTCAGTTTATCTTTGCCCTACTGGATTGATATTTATTCATATTTAACTCTCGCTCATTGCTGGTCAGCCCATTATGTGACATAGGCGGCCGCCTAGAGCGTCATCTTCTGAACAGGCACAGACTTAGCTAGACAATTTCATTTGGTCTCAGACAAGCGGTGCCAGCAGTGCAGCTTGCCTAGGGCTCCACATGGGCTTTGACTGGTACTGTTCCCACTCTGAGCATTGGTATATGTGCCTATTTGGTGTACCCCAGCCTCAGGCCATCCATGAACCTAACTAGGATGAGCGGAGGATGGATACATAAATCCATCCATGCATCCATCCGTGCATCCCCACCCCAGAGGGCAGGTGGGATTTGAACCCACAACCCTGAATGCGTGAGGTAACGGAACCATTCATACATAATTCATACTGTTGTTGTGTTTGGAACTGAACACCTCTGCAAGCTGTGTTGAGACAACTCAAGCCTGTAAGCACCAACAAGCCGAAAGGTCACAGGGAGCAGGGGGCGGAGCCTCACTCACCTTGTACAGCTTGAGGCTGGCCTCGTGCCTCGAGTTGATGGTGTGCAACCGCAGCTTCTCCAGGCTGTTGGTGTAGTAGTCGCAGGCGTTGCACTTGAGGTGCACGGGGTTGCCGATGGCGACGCACTTGAGGCGCCACTCGTTCCCCTTGCCGCCCTCCTTGATGTGCGCCACCAGCTGGTACTTCTGCACATGCTTGTCGGTCTTGCAGTGCAGCTGGAAGTTGGCCTTCAGCTGCGTGGTGTAGCGGCACAGCTTGCACTGGTGCGAGTCGCCCACTGTGGCACGCCACTCCTCCTCGGGCAGCGAGCGTTCAGCGCCCATGTGCAGGCCCAGCACGTCCAGGTTGTCCGTGGTGAAGCGGTTGCACACAGCGCACTGGAAGAGCTTGAGGGAGGGGTCGCTGGTCTGCGACAGGCTCTCCCCCAGGGTCATCAGCTCTTCGGATACCAGCTGACCACCGCCCAGTCTCACATCCATGGGCATTTCTCCGCCTACTGGGTGACACCCAAACACACGCTTCTCAGTAACTTTTCTTTCACATCACAGTTTCTCAAGCAATCCATCTATTTCACTGGTAAATGTTATTTTAGATTATTTCAACATAAGGAGTTTAGGTTCTGGGTGGAGGTTTTAGTGGGGTGGAGGTTTTAGCAATTTTAGTGCTAAAATTTACCTTGAATCTCTGCACCCCCCACCCTCCAACCTGGGAAAATTCGGGAGTAAATTGATATACATTCAAAACCCAGGGCAGTGGGAGTCGTGTTTGCCTTCGCAGTCAGGGTGAATTCTGTCCTCCGGCAGCAGAGCCCCCCCGGGGGACCCCGGGCGCGTGTGTATTTGTGTATCTAATTCCATTAAGTCGAGATTATTCTGCCTTTGAACTGAGAGAAAAGGAGCTTTGACTTTTCACGGAAACGTAAACTCTCCCCGGCGTGGCGTGGATTTACACGTCATGCCCGCTCGGACCCAAGCGCAACAGAGGCCCCGCGCTAAATCAACTCCAGAAGACTGGAGTGCAGGAAAGGAGGAGAAGGGAAAAAAAGCAGGTTATTTTATTATTACGGGAGAACGATAAGGGTTCCCATGCATACATTCAAGAAAATGAAATCCAGCCACTGACTCCGAATTGAATGAAGGGAGAGAGGAACCACTTTTCGAGATCCTCTGCCTCACGCCCTCCATGTCACAACCATGTGACACCGACCAAGGTGGGAAAGAGCCAGATGGAGACTGATCCCATGGAATAATGGGCTGCGAGCAGGGTGAATAAAAGTGAAAACAAAGAAGGGGCGTTGAAGGCTTGTGCCGGAAAGTTCTGCCGACGTTTAATCTATCAGCGTCCAGACTGGGGGGGTGCTCACAGCCCAGTACGCCTTTACCCCAAATTAATTCCAGCAGTCGGCTTTTATTTACTGCCACGGTACCTGGTATTTATAGTCAGCGTGAGGCAGACCTCTGCTGCGCCCCTCGTGCCCAAATCCCACTAACATCTAACATGAAACTCGCCCTGCACCTCCAGGGTCTGTCCTGGTTGCCCCGGGACCCGGCCAGATTATGGCTGAGTTCACGTCAGTCCTTCGACACGCGGAGCCGGCCGGATGGCCGTGGAGAAGCTTAAAGAAACACAGATCGCCAAGACAGTCAGACATGTAAAGAGGTTAATAAATGAAGAGGTGAGCTGGGACGCTGAGAAGCTCTGGGTTTAACCCTGCCGGTGGGGGCTGTGTGTCGGAGCACCATTACGGGCAACACGGCGGGATAACAGAATGCGCAAAGGATCCTGGTAAAACCGGCCTATGCGACTGTGCCGCGGGGGATCAGGGTGGCAGGACGCCAGCTGTGTTAGTGCGAGGTCAGGGCTCACTGACGAAGGAGTCAAAAAAGAAAACAAAAATGTGGGGTAGCCATAGTAGGGGGAGCATACGGAAAGCCCGTTTCGGGGAGCAGCACACGTCATAAAGGTGGATCCAGTTTCAAAGAGCAAAATGTTTTTGAAAAGGGAGCTTTTTTCCCCCCATGAACGAAAAACGTGCTGCAGTTTTCACGAGTGCGCCGACGAATGGCCTTGCGTGTGCGTGTGAACGATCATCCTTCGCCGCCATCGCCGCCCCTTCCAGAAATTCACACCGGGCTGCTTGTCAGTACCTTGTGTAACATGCTTATTAAGCGTCGCTTCGCGGGGAAAAAACAAACCAGATGGCAGAATTAGTTACGGCAATCAATTCTCGTTGACGTCTTTTGAACTGGCGACAGTTTAAGACAAGTCTGTGCAAACTTCAGCGTTGTAGTTGGCATGCAAAAAACAGCCCCTCCCCCCCCCGCCCACCCCCCACCGCACGCTGCAGAGCTAGCCTTACTGGGCTTCAGCCGTTCCTTATGGCCAAGATCAAATTTATAGTTGCAATTACCAACTTTGTTATTTTTTTATTTTTTTTTTAACGAAAGTTAGGCAGTCACAGGTTGGAGGAGGTGTGTGAGAACACGGATGTGCAGTTTTGAGGTTCTGAGAGCAGGTCCGTCTCAGTGGGTCTGGGCCCTTTTCTCACAGGAGCTGGGTTCCCTGGTCCCCTCACATGGACTCAGGACATGCTAGGTGCTATCGACTGGCAACTCCGACAGGATGCACAGATCCGATTCACTGGTAGAGAAAACAAAGCTTATCCTCCCTCACTGTCCAGTTTAGTGTTACTTTGTGTTGTTTTTCACAAAAACATTTGTTCATACTAACTACATCCAACACATATAGTCAGGCCTGAGCCCGATGGGAGGATTACAGGGATTTGCTCTAATACACTATGTCATTTGGAAAAACAAGAAAATTATTTTCTGTTCAGAAAAGCAGAGAGAGAGTTTGAGAAGAGTGAAGGCAATGGTGGCCTCATTTGAAACATCTCCACTTCAAACAGTGCAAGCTGGCGGGGGTGGTGGTGGTGGGGGGGGGGGTTTCCTCTCACTCTCCGCTTTTGGCAACAAAGGAAGCCATGCTGAGTTCAGTAGGGCAGGTGTGGCCCGGGGCAGGCTGGCAGCGAGTGAGATCTGGCAACCCTGCCAGGAGAAAGAACGCAAACCGCAGCCAGGGCAGGGGCGGAGGCAGGACTCGCTCCACCGCTCACTAACCCCAACCCTGGCCACACCCCCTGACCTCAGACAGGGAGTGCATAAAGAGCACCCACCCCCCCCAAAACAGGCAGGAAACCAGATTAAGTCAGCAGCAACAGGCGTGTGGTATGGCACCATTAGCATTTAGCATGTTACAGGAAAGTATGAACTAACTGCTAATGCTAATGTCATTAGCTACCCGAGAGCGCCAATCCATGCTCGGGTCCTCGGAGCGGTAACCAATCATGGCATCTGTAATGGTGGACTCACCAAGCGCAGGCGCCAGTGCAGCTACATTGGGGTCCAGATGGAAGCCGCCAAGCAAGAACTGCGCATCGGCAGCCGAGGATGGGTCCATCTTGAGGCCAGGGGGGAGGTTCATGTTCTGGGACAGGTAGTACTGGTAGAGCTCAGCCTCGGAGGGCGAGGGCAGCCCCCCCAGGCCCAGGCGGCCATGCTGCATCTGTGCCACATTCTGCTGCAACAGCATCATGTTGTGCATGTGCTTCTCGCTGGTCATGTGGATGCGCAAGTTGCGCGCCACATTGGTTTCGTAGTCGCACACCTCGCACCGCCACGTAGGCTTGCTTTTTGGCTTGGTGGGGGAGGGCGCGCTGCAGGCCCCACCCACGTGCCCTGCTGACTGGGTGGTGTGGTGGTGGTGGTGGGCGGGGTGGTGGGCGGCAGCCTGGGAGGCAGAGGGCACCGGGACCACACCCCCGGGGGCATGGCCAAACACCTGCTCACCGGAGGAGGTGACTGAGCCGCCGTTCTGCAGTGTCTGCATGTTGTTGAGGTGCTTGTCCGACTGCATGTGGATGCTCAGGTTACCCTTGGTGGTGGTGGAGTAGTTGCAGACCTCACAGCGGAAGGGCTTGTAACCGCAGGTATAGCTCTCGCCCCGCGCCAGCCGGGGATGGCTCTGGCCGCTGCTGCAGTACATGCAGGAGCCCCCCGAGTCCGGGTGCTTCTCCTTCATGTGTGCCTCCAGCGTCTGCTGGTACTTGTAGTGCCAGTTGCACTTGGGACACTTGAGCGTCTTGCAGGAGTTGCGCGAGTGCATCATGGTCATGTGACCTCCCAGGGAGCGCGAGGAGCCCAGAACAGTGTCGCACTTTGGGCATTCCACACCGCTGCCCCCGCCGGCCCCCACACCGTGGTTCTGAGGGCACTCGCCCAAGCCGATCAGGTCACAGGGCGTGCCGGCATGGGGGTGCGAGTGGCCGTGAGCATGGGGGGAGGGGTGCAGGTGGTGGTGATGGTGGTGGTGGAGGTGGTGATGGTGCAGCAGAGCCCCACCGTCCTCCTCCCCCTCAGCCGGGCTGTCATTTGGTTCAGGAGCTGTGGCACTGTCTTCATTGGCACTTTCGTCCGCGCTGACATGGGGGGCTGGAGGAGAGGAGGCGGCAGCCATGGCGTCGGCTGACGGACAGGACGCCCCGTCGTGCGTGGCTGCTGCCGTCGCCGGGGCCACACCAGGGCCCTGGCAGTTAAAGCTCAGGGGGGGCGCCGAGGTCCTCCCCCTACAGTCTGTGGCTGGCCCCTTGTCCGACGGCCGGGCTGAAGAGGAGGTGGGGGTCTTGCTGCTGGCTGTGGGGCTGGCCGCAGAGGGGCAGGGAGAAGGCTGGGGGGCGCTACTAGGCATTAATAAAGGAGATTTGGAAATGCTTTGGTTTGAGACAGCCAGTTCCCCCACTTCCGCGCCACTACCGCAACCACCGCCGCAGGCCATCGCCGGTCCCTCTTCGTCATCCTCCTCTTCCTCATCCTCCTCCAGCAACAGATCCTCCTCCTCCGAGCCCACATCCCCTCTCAGCAGGAGCGCTGGGCCCTCGCCCACCTCCCCCTGCGCCTCCTCCCCTGCACAAGTCCCCTCTTTCCCAGCGAGCCCCTCTGCTCTCCCTGCAAGCTGGGCCGGGCTGCTGGGGTCTTTGGCAGGACCTGGGGCTGAGGTAAGCGGGGGCGGCTTAGGGCTGCCCAGCCCCCCCAGCTTCAGGAGGGAGCCCGGTAGGCTTTGCTGGAGGCCTGAATCCGAGTCCTTGAGAAGAGCCTCTCCCCCCCGAGCCCCACCACCACCGTTGCTGCTCCCGGTATCTAAGTGGACCCCGCTGAACGTGCCATAGAAACTCTGTCCAGAAGCGATGGGCAGTAGCGTGGGTGGTGTGGGGGAGCTCTTATTTTTTGGTTCCAGGAAGCTGATGAGGGGCTCCTTGTCCTTCCCGATGCCCTGGATGATGGCCGAGGTGTGCTTGTGGCCCAGGAGCTGCCGCTCGTCCTCGTTGAGCGTCATGCGGTGGTCGTGCACAGCGTGCGTGGCGAAGGAGCGTGTGTAGCCGAAGGACAGCTTGCAGAGGAAACACATGAGGATGGGCTTCCCTTTGCCGTACAGGGCCAGCCCGTCGAATTTGGAGAAATCCACGTTGTTGGGAACATCTTTGGACACGCAGGACTTCTTGGCCGAACCGTCGCTGTTCAGGTAATCCTTGTTGCTTTTGTGCCGCACGTCGAAGACGCGGAAACTGTGCAGGACGGGGCTCAGGCCCGCCAGGGTTGAGGTACTGGGGAATCCTTGGTCTGGGGCGCCGAACCACTTGCCAAAAGACGAGGCTATGTGGAACGTGTTGATGATTTGAGGGTAGACCGAGGGGGACGTGGAGGCCGGCTCGCCTGGCTTCCCCGCGCTGGGGGCCGAGTTTATGGGGAGCTGACCTGGCACCGCGCCCCCCCCACTTTGGATCAGCTGGCTGAGGCTCTCCACGATGTAGGCCGAGCCGTCGGGCTGGTACACAATCTCTCCAGCTAGGTTCTCTACATCGCTGCTCTCCTCTTCCTCCTCCTCCTCGTCCTCCTCTCCCTCCTCGCTGCCACTGTCGGCGGGATCCCTCCGCCGCACCCGGCGCTGCCGCAGGAGGGTGGGCATGGCCCCGCCCCCGGAAGGCAGGGCCACGGCCGGGAAGGCCTGCAGACTTGGGAAGCAGCTGTCTATCTCCATGTCCTCCAAGTCCTCCTCCTCCAGGCAGCTGCCTCCTTCCTCTTCCTCCTCCTCTTCCTCCTCGTGTAACCCCTTCCTTCTCGACTGCTGCCCTCCCGCCAAACTGTCACCGGGGGGTGAGGGCGAGTTACACGTCTGCTGCTGCTTTTGCTGCCTCACCCCCTGTGGAGGGGCACCGGGAGCCTGGAGCTGGGGGGGGAAGGATGCAGACAGGGACAGGGGCTCCAGGGATAGGGGATGGCCACTGGGAGAGACTTGAGAGTTAGAGAGATTGTTCCAGGGTTGGGGAGGCCGCTGCTCCTGCTGAGAGGTGGTGGCGGTGAGCCCATCGTCTGTCCCAGAAATCACGGGAGACTCACAGCTTTCCATGCTGATGCCTACGTGAGGCGTTCATCGCATCCAGGCCTGAGATGGAAACAAAAACCAAAATGTGGGATCAGAGTCAGCCCAAGCAACACCGCCACAAGAGACCGGCCTGGCACCAAGACAGGCTACACTGACAGCAGGTGGCGCCATGATGAATGGGGGAGACGACAGGCCGCAGTTAACATATGCGGGAAGGAGCGCGAGACGGAACGGCGGGAGATCTAATTGGGGAAATGACAGAGTGCTCATTATGGTAAATTAGCTACCATACGGGAAAAAAAAAGATCCCATGGACGCGAGCTAACAGGCTATCTGAGACTCGTCTTCCTGGTGAAAGTGTCTCCCTTTTATCTTAACCTTGCAAACAAACTCCCCTGGTCCTCGTGCATCCTTAATCCAATTTACATCCATTTCCAGGCATTAATTCCGATAGGTGTGCTCAATAAAGGCCGGCGCACTCGGAAACTGATTTAGAGTGATCCGAGCGGGAGAGAACGTATCCCGAAGATCGTGTCAGCGGATGGACGTTTATATCAGCACCTGAAAACTGCTGCAGAGGGACAGTTAGGCTACCCAAAGAGGGCGAACAGAAAATCACTGCCATTGGTCATCGACTGGGAGGTAGGATAGCTGCATTTAGATCTGCCCAGTACCCGTGCAATGAGGTGTGCCTGCCCCCCCCCGAACCCCCCTCAGGACAGAGCACAAACCAGGAATACTGCTGAGCTAATAATTTTATTGAAGGGATGCAGGCAGCATTGATTAAGGGAGGTGACCGAGCTCACGGCAATAACTCTGGTCTGACCTCTGACCCGTGGTAATGAATAATGCATGAGCCAAGGTTCCCGGCAAAGCCAGCATGGAGCCCCGCCTGAGCAGCATGCACACGCCACCCCAGCTAGATTTATTTACTTATTTACTTAGGAATGCAAATTTCTGGGGCAACCTGACACAATCCACCTGCCGGTCTCGTCCTTAACACTGAGGGAGAAGGCAGCACCAGAGGGATGAGTCACCAAAACACACACACACACACACACACACACACACACACACACACACACACCACCCCCAACTGCAATATGACCATCAAAAACTGCAGAACCACACATTTGTCGAAGGGGGCACAGCGGTTAATGAGCTGGTTCCACAAGGGCGTCACGTCACATATATGGGCGTCAGCGTTTAGCAGAGAAGTGGATGATTTAGATATGTGAAAAACGCATACAAATAAAACATGCTAATACGCCCAGAGCTGTGCATGCAAAGCCGGCAATACAAAGCAGCCCGCGATTTCGGCACATTTTGCATAGATATTGCACATGACCGAGGCTACAAGTAAGAAAAAGTGACAAAGACCGAAGGGAACTTAGGGGGAGAAAAAAAAAAAAAGATTTATCCGGCCGCACCACAAGTAGGGAAACGTTTCCCTCCGTGAACAAAGGCACGATGGATGAAAAGTGTGACTCTTTCTTTTAAGACTCTGTTTTCGTCAAATGGAGCAAGGAACGGCAGCATTTGACTCGGCCAACCAGAGCTAGCCCTGGGCTGCCATTTGCGGGCTGCGTCGATGGGGTCACAAGGGACAAACCGTGGGTGCATTCAAAGGCAGCGGTGCAAAGGAGCATGAGGCAGCTTAAAATTGAGACTGGGGTCCTTCTGTCGCACACTTACCCCAGGCGCTAAATCCAAAGGCATTCGATCATCTCCCAGCTGTTGTTCTGGGTTAAGCGTCAAACTGTCAGGCCATTTACAGGTACGTTGAGCGCTCATGTACACATTCTTAAGAAAAAACGAAGCTACTCAAAAGCTCCATAAGCAAGGAACTCCTGCCCTGAACCCTTGATCTGCCATTGCGTGCGACACCATCACTTCTGGTTAGCTTAGCGACAAAAGGCCCACGCACACCACAACAGCCTGCACGCCTCAAAAGTGCCGTGGTCCGGCTCGCTGTATCCTCAGACAGCATAAAACAAGATTATCCTTCACAGCCGAAGGTCTAATTCGATAACCCCGGCTACCGGCGCATGGTACGATCTGCCGGGGCCTCGAAGGCACAGAGCAGCTCAACAGCGCAAAGCCGCCTGCACGTTGCAGGCGTCTGCTCTACGCGCGACACCTGTTTCAAACAGGAAAAACTTTAATCTCCTCACACAAGACCAGACAGACAGGGGCTTCTGATCGCAATCCATTGTTTCTCTTTGTGCTCTATTCACTGTCTATGAAACAAGGTAATAAATTCCCGTCACGGAGACGGGCCCGCCCCGAGTCCGTGGGGTTAGGCGGGACACTAAGACGCAGCCGTAATTTCCCCATTTCCGCCCATGCTGTCATCACTGATGTGGGAACCAATGGTGCCTCAAATTCCTTCGTGTGACAGGGACAGAGGGCACCTCTCATCCTCCAGGAGCAAACACACACACACACACACACACACACACACACACACACACACACACACACACACCAAAAGGAAAAGAAGGGAGAGGGCATTCTAGCCCAACCCAAGAACGAACAGCACAACCAAGACGTCCCACAGCGCAGAGGAGGTAAACACCACTCTTTAAATTATTAATGGCAGTAAAACATAAAGCACATGCCTCGGCCTTTATATGCTTTCTCTTAAAACGAGACGAGATAGGACTTATTTTAAGTTAATAAAGCCCAGTTACTAATGAACAATGTCAGTAAACCAGCATCTGAATGTCATGAGAGGATGGAAAATTAGATTTAGAAGTTTTTTTTTTTTTTTTTTTTTTTTTTAATAATTTATGGTCCCTTTCATTAACTGGGATTTGCCAGTGGACTCGAGAGGAATTAGAGGCCAGGATCCCATCTGATTACAGCCATTCAGGATCACCTGCCCCAGGGCCCGGCTCCCAGGAGGATGCTGGGTATTCAGCCCCGCCTGGGGAATAAGCTCCCCGTGACGCTCTCCTCTCCTTATCCCCGGCCCCCTCACCACATGAGATCACGAGAAGAGGGTCGCCATGGTGACCCGCCCCCAGCGACAACTCGGACGCCAGGCCTCGCGAAGACAGCTCCCCGCCGCGGTGAGGCATCGTGGCCACAGCATAAGACCGGCCTCTGAAAGGTTAGCGCGCTCATCGGAAAATCAATGCTGTAAATGCTAGGCGAGTTACAGGAAAATGTGGGAAGGACGAGGCCCTACTGATGAAGAGGAAGGCCTTTGATGTTGCACAGGGGACGTGTTTATTGATAGGAAACCATTGTACTCCTCGGGCAAAGCAAAAGACTTCGGCTGCTAAGCTACTCCAATTAATGGGGAATACGCACACGTACGCACAGCCTCCTCTGCCTTAATTCCAAACATGCCTCGGCAGCTACGCTAACCGCTAACTGCTCGCTGCTAAATGCTAGCGCCAAGTAAATAAGACGGGATAAAAGAGGAAAGGGAGTGACATAAACAAGGATCCTCCAAATCCTCCACCCAAAAGGATCTTCCCCGAGGATCTCTGGCTCTCCTCTGGCATGCCCAGACCCGGCAGAAAGGTTGAGGATGACCACCAGAAATTGGCACAATTTTTTTTTTCCCTAAACAAAAAAGCCGCTTTGGAAAACGGTAAATGTCACCGTGATGTCTGCTGAAACGTGTCATTTTATAAAGCCCATTTGGCAGCGTGGCGCCCATCGATTGGGTCATGATTCAGTACCGATCCGTGCTGACCTGTGACTGAACCCGCTTTTAATACAGAAAGGCAGTAGCTAATAAGAATGGGGGGAGAAAGCGAGGGGACGATAACAAACGGCAGAGCCCCAAGCGCCATCCCCTTTCTCCCAGCTTCTAAATACAGACTGCTCCGCCCCAACTACTCCGACGCAGGTCGATGGCACTCAGTCTGTAAACACGGCTTCCCGTAAAATCAATGATCTTCAGTTCTGGCTATCAGTCTGTGGAACAGAAATAGCAGTGGCTCTGTCGGGACTGGAAGTCGGAGCAATTTCTGGGGGGGGGGGGGGCAGATGATCACAGCGTGGCTGAGATTGAGACAACGGCGCTGAGTTGCAGTGCTTGCAGGCTGTACTACATTTCCCAGAATCCCTCTCTCTGACAGCAGCTCATCTGGGGCATAACCCCAGAAGAGACTGATGTTTATATGCTATATTCGCACCTGCTCTAATTTTTGTGGCCAATAAAATGGACACAGTTACTGCCATTTTCAAAACAAATTTCCAGTTCAAAAATAAAAGAAATTAATTATCATGATCTCTTCTCCGTAAATACTTTGCATTTGTGAGAGATGAAAATTTTAAACGTCTTCAAGATGAGGGTCAGGGCCAAACATAAATGGAGAACAGCCTGACGAATTACGGTAGACGGAGGCCGCTGGCCAGACCAATCAGAGGGCAGGGCAAGTGCGCTAAGGAAACGGTACGTGGCAGCCGGCTGCCGATGCACCCGTGCCACACATGACAGAAACAGCACTGAGGTGTAATTAGAAGTAGCTAATTAGCTATGGGTTAATTACGTGATGGGGGAAACTTGGTTTAAAAAAGTGGCAGTTATCAGAGAGGGGAGGGCGCAGCAGGAAGCGCCGGCCTCCCGCCAATTAGCAGGTAGCGTGCAGGGTGACGGCGGAGGGCGATAACACACGAGTGCGGTTTCACATCGAGGTGGAAAGGAGTAAAAACACACACATGCGGCATTAAAAATGCACAACGTACTGCCGGAAGGGGTTCCCTACGCCACGCTGTCGTTTTACTAGCAAAACAGAGCCATTTCCCTAAAAGCCAGATATTTTAACGATGCCTGCAGATCCCAAAATAACGTCTGGGAGCCCGGGGGATGTTGGATTCTGAAGCCAGATTCTCGAGTTGGGTCCTGAAACCGTACTCTGACAGCGCCAGTCAGAGTACGGTCCCAGTGCCTCTTCACCGGTTTTGTTCAAAAAAGAAGCCGTACGCCGGTTCCGAACACAAGCCTTTAATACGCCTACAAACTGCGGCTGGATACTGTAGCAGATTTTTTTGTTTCTGGTAGCGAATTCCCAGCGAGGCTCCTTCGGTTCGCTTTCCCT